CAGTGTCAGGACTTGAGTGTACTGTTGAAAGTATGAGTCACTGCACAAAGTTGTAATAGTGAACCACATCCACTCTTAGCTGATGTAGGCAGCACATGCTGTTAAAACAGCATGGCATTTTCAGGTGTTCTTAGAAACAAGGAATTATTAAAATGTATCAAGTATTGGGTGATCTCCATGACAATGAAATGGGGAGGAAGAATGACTGAGAGCCTGCCTACCTTCCATTGCCCTCTTAAAGAAGACCTTGCAGCTTCCACAGGTGAGCACACCATAGTGACAGCCAGATGCTTCATCCCCACAGATTAAACAGATCTTCTGAGGTAAGGAATCAAAGCCGTACTGTGGGCTCTGGCTGGCTTCCGAATCTGGCCTTGAAATGCAAAACAGGCTCCATTTAGTTTTAGGTTCATTTCCAAAACTGGCATTGATGACACCACAGATCTGTTACATACAATCATATTATTTATTTGTTTTTGGTTTGTGTGTTTTGATAAATATCTCATATAGCCAGGTTGGCTTTATATTTGCTACTTTCCAGAAACTGGCCATGAATTCATGAACTTTCAGCCCCCAGCTTCTAAGTGCTGGGAATAGAGGCATTTGCCACCATGCCCAGTTTATTAGGTGCTTGGAACAGAACTCTGGGTTTAGTGTATGATAGGTAAGTACCTTTCTAAGAATGGAGCCACATCCCCAGCCCAGGACCACACACACACACACACACACACACACACACACACACACACATTCAAAGTCAGGTGGGCTAAACTTGCTACTTGATATCATAAACTACCTATGATGGATTCTTTGGACATACAAATTATGAGCCATTCGTTAATAGTAAAAGAAGAGCCAGAGCATCCTTCCACGTTCAAAAAAGTCTAGACATTCTCATTTAAAAAGAGCTCCTTGTACAGAAGTGGATGAAATATGACATCCTTCCTGAGAGCTCGGTCACAACAAATACCGTTGAGCTTTGGGAGTTAAAGTCAACTTAGCAGTGGTTCCGCTTTGAAAACACAGCCCTGCAACGATTGATTGCTCCAACATATAAATAGAGAGGTTATTTTAAGGTATTGTTAACACGCTGACTTTATTTTACCTAGTCACCGCACAAAAGACTACAAACTCGAGCATTTTTTTTTCTTTTCATGTTCTATTACTTCAGTTTGTGAAGTTAATTTTTTAAAACCATGTATGAGCACAGTAGGGGTGTCTGAAACAACACAAGGATGCACACTACCCTTGAGTTTAAACCCACTGTCCAAACACTTCCCTCATGCAGTGTTCTTCACTCTTGAGAGTCCTAGGAAAATTAGGCCAGGGACCTGCCCACATCCCTAAGGTGTTTCTGCTTTCAATTCTGAAGCCGCATTTAGGTCCCACCGCCAACCAGAAGAACTGTGCCTTAGTGCCTCAGCCTCTCCAACACACACATACACAACACACACACACACACACACACACACACTATCCAGGCACCCCCATCCTCAGGACAATCAGAGGTCCTAGAGTGACTCCTCAGGGTTTGAACCAGGGAGGTCCTGATTCCGAAAGTTTTCAGACAATGTTTTTTTTTTTTGGGGGGGGGTGGGGTATGAAACAAAGCTATCTGTATGTCTTTTACACCACCCAGAAAACGTAAGAGGGGAGACTCATGCCATATGAGAGAGGGTGTCTGGGTTGCAAGGCCCAGCCCTCCTGCGGGCATCCTGCTACCTTGAGCTGCTTCAGGGGTGGAGCAGGGCAGGGTGCTCACCTCAAGTAGTTGAGATAGGGCGGGTAGACTTGGGGCAGGCTGTCCTTGATCACTGTGGTCTGGTAGCCCAGCTGAGGGAGCCCATTGAGGCCTAGCGGCGGGTAGATGTTGGGGGCTGCCGAGGCGGCCTGGGGTGCAGGAAGGCTGTCGCGCGGGAGCAGGCAAGAGCCGGCGGCCGAGGGCTTGCAGGGTAGCGGCGGGAACGGGCCCTGCGTGGGCGGCGCGCCCTCTGCTTTGTACAGGATGCACACCAGCAGGGACCCAGAAGAGGATGCTGGCGACACTGCGGAGCTGCCGGGACCGCCGGCCACCACTGAGTCTCCGGGCCTGGAGGAGTGAGCCCGTGGCGGCGCTGGCGCCAGTGGGAAATCTGGGTAGGAGGCGGCACTGGCTCCCGCCACCCGGGCGGGGCGCGGCGAGCGCGCAGCTGCTTCTGCGCCTTCCTCCTCTTCCTTGATCTTCAAGCCTGGTGGCTGGAAGTCGCCATAAAGAGGAAACGCGTCCTCTTTGGGGTCGCCGTCCTGCGGGTAGGTGCAGTCTGGGAAGTCGCCGCAGGGCACCGGCGTGGATGGTGTGGAGGGCGAGCCTCGAGGCGGGGCAAATGAGCCCTGGGCTGAGGTCCCGGCGTCGTAGCTGTCCCCCTCCAGCAGCTGCCGGGTGCGGGCAGCCAGGAGAGCGTGGTTGAGAGGCAGGATGGGCACGTGGATGAAATCCACCACTGTGGTGGCCAGTGGGGAGCGCCCGGGCGCCACGGAAGCGTCTTGCTCCAAGGAGATTCTGGGAGCAGAAAATCGGGAATCTTCCTTGGGACCCAGGGTGACGCCTCCTGGAGCCGCTGCGGGCGCGCTGGTTGCAACTCCTCCTCCACTGCCCGTGCCTTCTAATGCCCGAGGTTTGCTCTTCAGAAGCGGACCTGCGGAGCCCTCAGTCTCTAGGTCACAGTCCTCCTCCACCTCCACAGCAGATGGCTGCGGAGACGGCTTCACCCCTGCCCCAGGCCAATGAGCACTTCCTGAGGTCGGGAGCAGGAGCTGCCTGGGTGGTGACAGCCCCTTGGGCAGCACCTTCTGCCCCGCTCCTGTGCTGGAGCTGTCGCCAGCCTTGCTCTCTGCCCGGTTCATGAGCGGGGACAGCAACTCCTTGGTAGTAGGGACACCGCGGGGGTCTTCTGGAAGTTCTGATCCAAAGAGACACCAAGATGTGATGACCTCACAGGCTGGAGGGCTGGCGTGGCTCTGCTCGGTATCCGAGGGCGCCAGCAGTGTGTCTAAGACACTATCTAAGAGTCTGCTGTCCTTCTCTGGGGCTGCGGGATTGCTGCCTCCTGCCTCACGAGTGGCTTCGACTCCAGGGAACGCACCCTCCACGTCGGACAGCGATTGCTGGTTCTGTGCTTTTCCTCCTGCGAGCTCCAGACCCTGGCAAGGCCGAGGGAAGAGCAGCCTGTCGTCCAGGGAGATGGGTATAGGCGACACTACAGACGATGCGTCCGACTGCTGGTTCCCCTGGAAGGGACAAGGGTCCAAGCGTCCAAACAAGGGGGACCCGACGTGGGTGGGAGAGGGAGCGGCTCCCGACGCGTGGGGTGCCCGCGGATCCTTTGCCTGCAGTTCAGTCATGACGACCCGAGCTCCCCTTTTCTCCTCCCCTGTCTCCAGGGAGGAGGGAAAAGGGAAAAAGGAGGGGGTGCCCGTGATATAGGGGCAGAGGGAGGGGGAAGTGGGTGTTGAATCGCAGGACCCGTGGGATCTCCACCTCCCGGCTGGGAGGGGCGGTGCTGGTCAGCTCCTGTCCTTACCCTCCACTCAGACGCAGAGGAAGGGTGGCAGTCGCGCTGTCTCGGAGGTGGGGTGAGGGCAGGAAGAAGTAGCTATAGCAAGCTGGTCTCTGAACTGGGAGAGTTCTTCCAAAGAGTTTTGTCGTGTCTGTCCGGGTGCTCCTCAAGAATCTTGCTCTGGAGTGACTGGTGCTGTGAAAAGGGCTCCTGCTGTTTGCGGACTTGTTCCCTTGGTAGAAACATCGGCATCTAAGAAGTTTGCATCGCAGTTCTCACCACTAAAACCCTGGAGCTGGCTGAAGCTCGTTCTTAGTCATCCTCCTGTGGCAGCGACAGCTTCTAAAGCTCCCTAGGTTCTCTTCAGTGCCAGCAGTCTGTAGTTTCAGGTGCCTCCAGGAAAGCACAAGGGAAGCGAGTTCTTTTCGGGCTTGCAGAATCCTCGCACTCACAAATACTACAAAGGCTAAGTGATAGTGACAGTCTAGACTGGCTCCATAGCTTTCTAGCAAGCCTGGCGCTCTAGGAATGCCCGCCCACAGCCCCTCCCTAGCCAATCACCAGCTAGATCCAGAACTCTGGAGTTGGCTTTCTTACCACCCACTAGTCTGGGCTCCACTTGGAGCATCGAAAGCTCTGGGAAGAAACCTCCTAAGCATACCAGATTTTTATACTATCAGTTAGGTATGCCAGTCCCAGTGAGGAGAAAAAAGTACATATACGCTATCAAAAGCAAAATTGTAAGGATTTCAGGGTTTGAAATTTGTAAAGATTCTACAGAGAATGGCATTTGGTTACACTATCTTTTAAAATAAACGTATAGAAAATGATCCCAAATATTTTCATTGTTTTTACATGCATATGTCTCTGTGAGTGTACACCGCATTGTGCTCAGAGACCAGAAGAGAGGGTGGGGGGCCCTCGGAGGTGGAGTTTCAGGTAGTTGTGAGGTGGGTCCTGGGAACTAAGCTGGGGCCCTGTGAAAGAGCAACAAGTGCTCTTGTGCCATATGTGTGTATTACTGACGGTCTGTCTTACCTGCTCCTAAATGTGAGAAACACATTTAAATTATCCTTATGACAAGTGGGTCACACTCTTTCTGATGGCCACCCATGTGACTTATTATAGTAGTGGAAGACAGTTGGAAACACACCTATACCTGTGTGGGGAGTTTGGATGCTGAGTATCATATTTGGCTTGTCCCAATGCATCTCTATATTTTCAGAAAGTTCCCTTCAGCCCTAATTAAATACCCTGTATCATATCTTAAGATCTCCAGTGCAAAGGCTGAACAGTATTTTCTCCTCTCAAAGTTTCTCTACTCTTAAAATAATTTTCATTGAGCTTGTGAACTAGTCATTTGGAAAAATTCCCTTGAGTGTGTCCAGGTCCTATTTATGCTGATGCCTTGCAGTTATTCGCACCCAGGTCTAGAAGATACGTGCAAGACTCCAAATCTCCAGGGCAGGTGGGGCTGTTAGAGGCACAGAGCCTGAATGCCTGAGTCACCAGGGAGCCACTACATATGAGAAATAAATCTCCATTGCATTGGGCCACTGGGTTTGACCATTGACTATCCCAGCAATGAGTTATCACTGACTAATTTAGATGTGAGGGAATTAGGGAGGTAGAAGAGAATTCAAGGAAACAGTTATTTTATATCCTTAAGGCATCAAATGGTAAGATGGAGTGTGGGAACTGCAGTGGGCATTAGGGACAACACATGGAAAAAGCATGGGAAGGAAAAAATGAGGCTAGCAGATGGCCTCCTGTACATGGGTATGTATGTATGTATGTATGTATGTATGTATGTATATGTATGTATGATGTATATGGAGAGCCTTGACCACAGACAAAGTGAGATGTATCACTTTTACCTCCCAAAGTGCACTCATGTTCTTTAAAATCCCTTCATATTGTCTTTTCTCACCTCTTCCTTGCAATATCACTGCCCACCCTGGTAACTGGTAATCTGCCTCTGTCATTGTATATTAGGGCTTCTACAGAGTCCTGCCTGGTTTACTAAGTGTTATGTCAAATTATTCTCTATGTCATAGATATAATAGTCTTTTACTAACAAGATTTCCTTTTCAGAATACTTTTAGATTTATAGCAGAACCCAGCAGAGAATAAAGAGTAAGTGTGTGTCCTCTCTGCAGCTTCCTGGACACTGCAGCAGAAGGCATGTTGCCATTAGTGAGTGCAGGCTGCTGCGTGGCTGTTAACTAGGGCCCAGAGTCTATGCAGTTTTCCTTTTTTCTTTCCCAAGATCTCACCCAGGACACCTTGTTTCATTGTTGTAATGGCTTCTGCGACTCCCCTGGGCAATGATGTTGTCTGGTCTCTTGTATTTCATGACCTTGGTAGTTCTGAGAACCCTTGTAGAATGATGACATTCTCTAAGTAGTCAAAGCTCATGGGTTTGGAAAAGAAAGTCAACATTGGCTCGTGCTGTTTACACTACCTTGCATCAAGGGTTCACAATGAACAGTCGGTGTTGGCTTGAGTACCTGTTTGAAGTAGTGTGTCTCAGAGCCCCTCATATGCTTACTGTTTTCACCTTTGGAAGGAAGTCGCTATGAGCTATTTGTGGGAATGTGTGGGTGTAGGAAGTTATGTCTTCTCCCCATTAAGGTAGAGTAACCTACTGGGAGCTTTATTTGTAATTCTGCCTGGGGAGCACCCTTTACCCTTATCATTACTTTACTCTGTCTTCCGTGTATATCACTATGGATACATTTTGTCCCTCAAGATTTTTCAGCTTTGAGTATTGGTGGCTCCACCAGTAGTCCTTGTGTCTGTTGACATATTTCACTGTTACACATGTTCAAGATGGGTGGGTGTGCATTGGACTGCTTTGAGCATGTTTTTGGCTCTTTAGTATTAGATGCTTCTCCAGACTTCTTTTTCATACCACCTGTAGCCTCTTAAAATAAGCCATTTATCTGAAAAATATTATTAACGAAGATTTCCATTTCAGTTTATATAATGTGCTCTACATTAGCCTTTTATGGCTTGTTTGATTTTTTATATAATACTTTGAATTTCACTCTATTATAGCATATATCAATAGTTTGCTCTCTGTGAATGAATGAATGAATTGATTAATATACTATGGTGTGTTTATTTATGCACCTGCTGATAAACAGTTTTATGATTTATAAGTTTTGCTAGAAATGTACTATCAAAATGTGTATACAAGTCTTTGTATACATATGCTTCAATATTTCTTGTATAAATGTTTAGAAATGAAATGGCTAAATACATTCGTGTGTTCTGTGGTCTGCTTGTGATCTCCATGGAATTCGTAGATTGACTCTGTATTGCCAGTGTGACTGTCTTTTGAGGTAGGGCTGTTGGGAGAGCAATGTGCTGTGGACAGCTGCCTGGTCTCTCTTACCCCATGGGGACATTAGTGCAAGATAAATTTCTGTGCATGTAAGCTACACAGGGAATGTGTGACATTTTGTGACCGCAGCCCCAAGGACCAACACAATAGGTGTACACAGAACTGCCAAACCACCTGCCACAGTGGTTGTACCATTTTTCATTTTCCATAAGGTGTTAGAGTTCTAATTATTCCATAACCTGAAAAACAGTTGGTGAATATTTGTAATTTCAGAAAATTTTATAGTGTGTGATGGGATCACAGGGTTCTGGTTTTTCTTTTCCAGTGTTTGTTTTCCAAATATCTTTTCCCACATCTTAAAATGCTGAGAATTAGTGACAGACTTCCTGTATGGAATGGGAAGGAACTCACAAGACCCTGCTCCTAGGGCTATTAGCAGTTCGCAGCTGTTGGATAAAGGACAGTCATTTGGGGTGGGTGTATTGCCATTAGTAAGTTACTCATGATCCAGTGAATGGCGCCACGGTTATGTACCTGTGGGCAGCACCAATTGAGCTCATTGCATATAAAACAAAAGAAGAGACCATGAAGGTTGGAGAGGAGTTTGTTGGAGGTTGCCAGGGAGAGTAAGAGAGGTTTGAAAGAAGAGTTGATGTGTGTATGGATATGATCAAGTACTTTGCATACATGTACAAATTGGTCAAAGGACAAATAAAATATTATTTTAAGACATCTGCAATATATTTTTTAGCTCTTTGATGTGTAGGAGACTGGGGAACACTACCTCCAAGCATGTCCATCATTAATTTCTCTTAACCATGTCTATTGGGCATTATCTTGATTTGTAATTGTTGTATGAGGGCCCAGCCTACTCTAGGAGGCACCATTCTTATTCAGGTGGGCCTAGCCTATGTAAGAAATGTAGCTGAGCACAAGAGTAAGGAACATAAGGTCTGTGGTTTCTGATTCAGTTCCTGCCTTGGTTAGCTTTGATGATGGAGTACAACCCTTAAGATGTAACAAGCCCTTTCCTCCCCAATGTTGCTTTGGGTCAATGTTTTATGAGAGCAACAGAGGAGCAGACTGGGACAAGTACTATCATTTAGTGTTGGGTCTTCTTGTAGGTATTTTTATGCGTCTTGTGACTTGAGGTCATTCCATGATTCGGTCTTTTGCTGTGGACTCCTAATATACCAGGTTTTCTACAAAGCTTTGCCACGGGTTTTGCTTTTAACAGTATTTGTGTAAACTTTGTAGCTTGGTAGTAGTTTCTCTGACTTCTGGCTTTCTGGAAAATTAATTTTCATTGTTATTTCATCCTTTTTATTCCCTTCTTCATGATCTTTTGAACTAGTGGGCTGATTCATAGCTAATCTTAAACCAACATCTTGATGGGCGTCATTAAACCCTTTCTTTTCCTTGTTACATGGCTGGTTATTCAAATTTGTCAAGCCAGGCTTTACTTATTGCCAAAGTGGAATATTTAATATCTATTA